ACAACGTCCACTAGAGGGAGTCACACACTGTTAAAACTTCAGTGGTTTATGATACAGTCTGGATTTGTTTTAGTGGTGATAGAAGCAACATTAAATGAAGCACTACAGATAAAACACAATAAACAAATAACAGAACTTGAATATGTTCATAGTATTTTCAAAGTATATCCAATACTACTCCAGCAGATTGTTTTCACAGACAATAGAAATGCTTGGTGACTGTCACCATTGCAAGCTTTAAGCTGTGCTGCCTGGTTTGAAGCAATATGTAGACTGTAATACTAAACCCCCATTTGCACCTCTCACCATAATGTCCGTTTAATTCCCACCTACAAGTCCCTGCTCGAAAGCAGGACAGCACAAGTAAAACTGTACTTGTTTGGAACAATGATGGCAGTGAGACCTTAAAGGGAAATGAAGCAGTCAATCAAGTTTACATTATTTACACAATGGATTTCCACTATGATCAACAATTATACAAGAAACATGACAAATGTAAACGTATAAAAGACAAAAGAAAAGAAGAACTGTCATATCTTTCACGGAAAGGTATGACAGTTGTGCAGTACTATAACCTTTAAGGCTTTGGGCGAGAGATAGTGAAATACAGAGCCAGTGAAGGAGATAGTGAAAGATAGAGATAGTAAAAGAGAAATACTCAAGAGATAGTGAAACATAGACTTAGTGAAAGACAGAGCCAGTGAAAGATAATGAACAAGAGATAGTGAAAGACAGAGACAGGGAAAGAAATAGTGAAAGAGAGTGAAAGAGAGATAGTGAAAGACAGAGCCAGTGAAAGATAATGAACGAGAGATAGTGAAAGACAGAGACAGGGAAAGAAATAGTGAAAGAGTGAAAGTGAGATAGTGAAAGACAGAGACAGGGAAAGAAATAGTGAAAGAGAGATAGTGAAAGACAGAGACAGGGAAGGAAATAGTGAAAGAGAGTGAAAAAGACAGTGAAAGACAGAAACAGTGAAAGAGATTCTAATGGCAATTCCACACAAGATACTGAAGAGATGATGAAAGACAGAGATAGTTAAAGATAGACATAGTGAAAGAAAGAGCCAGTGAAAGAGATAGGGAAAGAGAGATAGTGAAAGACAGACAGTGAAAGATAGACATATTGAAAGAGATAGTGAAAGATAGACATGGTGAAAGACAGAAACCGTGAAAAAGAGAGTGAAAGACATCATTAAAGATAGAGATAGAAAGAGATAGCGAAGAGATACGGAAGGGACAGTGAAAGATAGAGACACTGAAAGAGATAATGAAAGAAATAGTGAACGAGAAATAGTGAACGAGAAATAGTCAGAGATAGTGAAGAGATACGGAAGGGATAGTGAAAGATAGCGATACTGAAAGAGATAGTGAAAGAGATAATGAAAGAAATAGTGAACAAGAAATAGTGAAAGAGATAGTGAAAAACAGCTAGTTAAAGATAGATATAGTGAAAGACAGAGCCAGTGAAAGAGATAGTGAAAGACAGAGATAATGAAACAGAAATAGTTAAAAACAGAGATAGTGAAGAGATACGGAAAAGATAGTTAAGAGATAGAGATAATGAAAGATATAGTGAAAGAGATAATGAAAGACAGAGATAATGAAAGATAAATAGTTAAAAACAGAGACAGTGAAATAGAGAGATAGTGAAAGACAAAGAGTGAAAAACAGACCGTGAAAGACAGTGAAAGATAGACAGTGAAAGACAGATAGTGAAAGACAGAGATACTGAAAGATGGAGATAGTGAAAGAGAGACAGTGAAAGAGAGAGATAGATGGATGCCACGAACAGAGGACAACCAGTGGAAACTCAGAATAGAATCAAATATAATAATTGTTTTGAAAGGTTTTCAAATTATTATTATTTTCATTGTCAGTTATTTTAGTAATTGTTCCTTTATTTGTTTTTTTTTAAATTTGTTTTTATTTCACGTTTATGGGTAATGGGGTTCGGGATGTAGCAACATGTAAAAGGAGATGGCAGATTAAATAAATGTAAGAATTCCAAATGTCACAGTGAAATATATCATTATCAAAATATTGCCTATAGACACACGCACACACCTGTCTATAGATTTGTCTCACTCTTAACCCTGCCTTGGCCGACCTCGTCCTTTCTCCCAGTACTCTATCCTTCTCAGATTATTTCCCACACAGTTTTGAACCTGGTATCTTATTTCCTCTACCTGCAGCTTTTGGTGTGCAGCAGTCTCTGTGACCATCTCCCTCTTATTTTATCGTAGCAGTCAGCCTTGGCAACGGCTGCAGCACTACAGCAGGTCAGTCACTGTGAGCCAGTTCCAAATACTGTCAGCAATCTTTACATCTTGTCATGGTCACGTATTTGTTTAATCAGCTAATATCTCCTAAGTTTGTTATAATATCGATAGTCACAGATCACCACCAGTAGTATCAGCAGCAACATCCCCAGCAACACCATCAACAGCCCACAGTGTTTAAAGCAAGAGCTGGGTATTCCCTGTGTTTCTTTTTCAAAACTGTGTCATACCATTCGCTGATGTATCAATACAGAAGCATCAGTAAACGCATATCAGCAAGGAATACATAACGATATATTTCTGTATCAATATTCTGAGAACAGCCCTATTTAAATCCTTGTTCCATGTGCCCCTTTTATACTTTGAGTACCTGCCCTGGTTCTGATAGCAGGCACTTTAAACTGTAGCCCATTATGTGACCTGAGATTATGACTGCTTTGTAAAGTTAAAAATGTCCTGTTTAAATAATTTGGAAGTCTACCTAACATATCTTTGCAAGTGAAGGGATGACCATCCTGCCAGTCTGTCCAATATACAATGATGTATCCTGAAACTAGAGTTAGTGACATATCTGAGAGCTCAGTGATAAAGGGGGTCAAGTTTGGACAAGGTGGACAGAGAGGCAAACCTGTAGGTAGTGTCCCTATAATCAATCTGTGGCAGAAAAAGGCCAGCAACTAAGTGTTTTTGTGAAGCCATGGGAAAGGAGGACTTTCACCTACACAGAAAAGTCAACGTGAATTTTAATTTCTTTGCAAGATAATAAACATGTTATTTAAAATTTAGGTTTTTTGTAAAACCAGATTCCCAGATATTTGTAATTATCAACAGACTGGATACAGACTCCATACAGGGTCGTGATGGAGAGGGGTGGTACCTTTGTTCGCCCAGTGGCAAAAATCATAACTTTAGTTTTGTGGGAATTTAAAAGCAACTTCAAATCTGACAGAGCATATTGCAGGGTATAACAATCTGCCTGCACATTTGAAAAGGCCAACTCTGCTGTGGAGGCACAGGAGTACAGAACTGTGTCATCTGCATACAGATGATCCTTACAGAATTTAAACATCACAAATATTATTAATGTAAACTAGGAAAAGCAAGGGTCCCAAAACTGAGCCTTGTGGAACTCTTTTCCTAACAAGGACTGGATCTGACATGTCGTTTCCATGTTTAACCATTTGTGAATGATTGGTCAGGTAACTGTGGAACCATTTAGCCGCTTTGCATCCAATGCCTGCTCTCAGCAGGGTATTAACAAGTGATGGATGGTCCACAGTACGGAAGTTCTCTGAACAATGATACACAGCTAAATTTGTTATCTATAGCCTCGTTGAAGTCATCCATAGCTTTTAAAGTGGTGGTTACTGTACTATGCACTGACCTGAAACCGGATTGTATTTCATTTCAAATGTTCTGCGAGTCCAAATATGATTGGATAGCAACTAATGATTTCAAGATTTTTGAAAGAACAGGGAGAGATTGGCCTAAAATTGTTCATGTCAATCCAAACATCAATATTATTAACACTACATCAAAAATTTTTAAATAATTAATTTGTGAAGCTGGAACGATGAAATGTATTGACATGAAAAATGACAAATGATCAAAACAGCTGCCAATAAAAACATTTTTTCAACCAACTAATTGTTTCAGCTGTGCTTTAATAAACTGTTGGGTAATTAAATTAATTACAAAACATTATATTTTATAAACTCTTCATATGTAGTACAATGCTTACTTTGTAAAGTAACAAAAGCTGTTGTAGTGAAGAAAAAAGAACAATCTCTCAGTATTTGTACATAAGGACAGTACTTGAGTAAATGTACGTAATTACTGTCCACCACTGAACGGCAGCACAAGTGTCATTTCCAGAGATGAAGGTACAGGTACGTAGAGAAACAAATAAGGGATATGTTGGAGTAAAGTGAGAACTGAGTGGGAAACAGCTCTTAAAATCCTTCTGCCAGTTATAAAATTTACGACTGAGAAAGATAAAACATCTATGGGACAATTTGATAAATGGGTTGAAATATGTTTCCTGCTAAATCGAATAAAAGAGACGAAACCTACCATTTAGGGCAGATATGCTCTATGCTATATAAACCAGAACTGAGGGACAGGAAATACTTTACTGGTTGCACCTCTGTATGTTTGTCTGACACACTAAAATTCTTAGACATCTTGACTCGATTCTTTATTCCAGAAGACTCACTAAAGAAAAAGTTCAAATACATCTGACAATAAATTATGGACTGTAAGTTTCATAACTTAATAATAATAAGCTGGTATGTAACGTCGGCCAGAGTCCCACTGCACTTTCACATCCAGACAAGGATGGACAAACACCTTAATGTTTCACTCCAAAGCCTGAGTCATGACCAGTTTCACACCAGTGTTTGGAGACAGAATAAGCTCCATGTTTGCACAGACTGCCTTCATTTGTTAGAGGGGGAGATGTCCAACCATAATTAACACAAACATCTCTGCTTTCACTGTCAGTAATGCGGCAGCTCCAGAGATCGAAGCACCTAAATCAGCCCTTGGAAGAGTCTAGAAAGGACGTGACTGACCCATTGTGGGAGTGAGGGAGTGTTTGCTGAAGCCTCTATGTGGTAAACTGGTGGTAGCAGCTCTTAACCATTCGCTCTCAGTGGAATATCCTGTTTGAAATGGTCGACACCACCGAGCTGGTTTTGGAGATCCTTATGTGTTCTGAACAGGCTTCATATTTTAGCCCTTTATCTGGAGAAGCTGTGGACAGGCTGGCAAACTGACAGGCCTTTAACATGATGCTGATACCATATTAAAAACATTCACTAATTGATCCTAATTGTCACACTAGGAAAGGAGAGAGTGAGGAAAATGTGTTGAGTGTAAAGTTGTCAGTCGGGGAATAACACAGGGCTGTGAATGAGCCCCGTCACTGTGATCAGGCTCCTCCTTCTAATCCACCAACTTAGTGTTGATGAAGACTAAACAGAGAGATCACAGCCTTCTTTATACTTGCTGGAGCTCACAGTTCCTCAACACTGCAGATATGACGCCTCTGTTCATCTCAGTGTTGCTGGCTGCTGTGTGCCTTGGTATGAACACAACTCTGGTTCTCTGATATCAATCCAACATTGACATGATTCTTTAACAGCACACTGATACTGTTTGTTGCTGTTTTACAGAATGCAGAGCACAAAAAGACAACGTGCTGCAACCAGAAGGAGACGTGACTGCTGCTGAAGGAGAGCCAGTAACACTTGGCTGTCTATATAACACCAGTTCTCAAAGTCCAAATCTCTTCTGGTACAAACAGGATGGAAACAACAGCCCTGAATTCATACTGAGCCGCTTTCAACGGGATGAAGGGAAAACAGCAGACAAGTACAAGGAGAGATTTTCATCCACACTGGATTCCACCTCAAGATCAGTTCCTCTGAAGATCCAGAAGCTTCAGCTGTCTGACTCTGCTGTGTACTACTGTGCTCTGCAGCCCACAGTGACAGGAAACACCAAAACTCTGTACAAAAACCTTTGGAGCAAAGACAACAGAATACTCCACAACATCCACTAGAGGGAGTCACACACTGTTAAACTTCAGTGGTTTATGATCCAGTCTGGATTTGTTGTGGTGTGACCAGCCTTTGCCTTCAAACAGCAGTTCTCCTAAGTACACTTGCACAAAGTCAGGGATTTTGTAGGCATGTCATCAGGTGTATTAAATCATTATTCCAGACAGGTGCCAATGATCAGCAATTCAATATGTAGTTTGAAACACAATCATTAAGTGAAACAGAAACAGCTGTGTAGGAGGAATCCAGCTGAGTGAGGAACAGCCAAACTCAGCTAACAAGGTGAGGCTGCTGAAGACAGTTTGAAGAGTCAGACATCATGGCAAGACTGAGCACAGCAACAAGACACAAGGTAGTTATACTGCATCAGAAAGGTCTCTACCAGGCAGATGTTTCATGGCAGACAGCAGTTTCCAGATGTGCAGTCCAAGGTCTTCTGAAGAAGCACAAAGAAACAGGCAGCACTGAGGATCACAGACGCAGAAACATGTCAACATGTGAAATATTTGGCTGCAGCAGAACACAGTTTGTGCACCGAAGGGCTGGAGAGTGGTACAAGAATGAGATGCACCTAGAAGAGTTGAAGCTGTATTGAAGGCTAAGGGTGGTCACACCGAATAATGGTTTGATTGCTTAGGTGGACGAAGCAGGATTTATTGAGATTATTGACATGTGGTTTGAAGGTCAAATGTGACACCTACATTTCTGGATGGAGATTTTAAATTGGTTGTCAGTGGACCAATATGGTTGTAAGGTGATCAGGGCCAATGATTATTACTTCTGTCTTGTCTGAGTTTAGCTACAGAAAGTAATAAATCATCCACAACAGCAGTCAAGCACTTTATTAAACTGCCCAGACAGCCAACATTAGCTAAAGAGAAAAGTAGATCCCTGTATTATCAGAATAGCAGTGATAGAAGATTGAAGGTCCAGTGTGTGATATTTCTAAGGATCTACTGACAGAAATGCAATAAAAGATCCTTAACTATGTTCTCAGTGGTGTATAAAGACCTAATGAACGGTTCTGTTTTTTTAGAATGAGTTATTTCTATAGTAGACTAGACATCTGGAAACCTTACTGCTAGATGCTACTAAATCTTAAGCACTTCACCTTTAAACATGATAATGATGTTTCCTAATGGATGCATCCAAAGGGAAAACAACACTGGACAATGACTAGATCCTTGTGGCGCCCTGCACATCTGCAGAAGGGAAGATGAAACATAATTATAGATGAAGACAGAAAATTCTCTATTTGACTGACAGTGTCAAACTCAGCACTGAAGCAGGAGCAGTAAAACAGAATGTTCCCAGCATGAGCACACATCAGTCTTTTGTATTTAACCCTAATAAGTGTTGTTTGTGAAGCCCATCAAAAATGCTCTTATCATCTAACACAGCTAAGAATTGAGTTAGCACCACCTTTTCAAGAACTTTGGATATGAAAGCATATTTTTTTTATTAGAGGCTGAATGCTGGCTTGCTTAAAATAATTGCGGATGTGGCAGGAAGTAATGGAACAATTAATAATGTGAAGTAAGCTAGGGCCAATGTCACCCATAACCCATATGTCACGCATATGGCAGGTGGTGATGGTGCAGTGGATAAGACACATGCCTTCGGTGTGAGAGAATCTGCTGTGAAACACCTATGAATCCCTGAGCAAGACACTTAACCCCTAGATGCTCCAGAGGTGTGCGACCTCTGACATATATAGCAATTGTAAGTCGCTTTGGATAAAAGCATCAAATAAATGTACATGTAAAATAATGTTTTACAGGATTGAGGTGGTTAAGATGTCAAGAGGGCTTGAAGAGGAAAGCATGTGAGAGACAGTATCGATGAGCTCAGGAAGAGAAATTAGCTGAAAATGGCTGAGCAGTTCAGGACAGGCAGGGTTATCAGAAATATCAGCAACAACAGTGGTAGTAGCTGTTAGACCTAATGTTAGTGACTTTTTGCTTAGAAAAAGATCATAAAAACAACTCACAGTCAGCATTTGAAGAGAGTGGTAAGGCAGGGGGAGCAGAGTTGATAAGTCTGTCTAATGGTTTTAAACAGGAATCTAGGATCATGCTTGTTCCCGGTGACTAGATTAGAAAGGCAGTTGGCTCTGTCGTCTGTCATTTGTTGTAAGAAGTCAGACGGTCTTTCATATACAAATAGCAGACATGCAATTTAGTCTTTCTCCAACTCCATTCTGCTCTTCTGTTCAATCTTTTAAGACTCCTTAAACTATCGTCAATCCAAGAAATGGTTTAAGAGGCAACTTTGATCTGAGATTAATGGGAGCAGTGGAGTCTAAAGTAGATTGACTTAGATTATTAAGGCACTATGTTAACTGAGGATACAGGTGCTGATAATTCTGCTATGTTGTTTTCGGGCAGCATGTAACAGTGTCAGACGTGATCAGAGAACCACAGAATTGATACTCAGACCAAGGGAAAGACTCTAATGTGTTTCCTAAATGAGTTTAAATGAGTTTGTTGAATCATCAGTGTGAATATTAAAACTGCCAGCAATTATAACTTAAACAGCGAAAGATGGAAGGTCAGAAAAGTAATGTGCAAATCTGGCATCTATTTCAGATATAGAAATAGATCATAAGGCAACAGACAGGTACAGAATCAGAAGTAGATACTAGTAATAGTAGCATATCGTCTGTGTAAAGATTGACCTCAGTCAGGACCTTCACATGTTCTGTCAAGTGTCAATCAGTGTTATCTTATCAGCTACTTGTTACCTGATGGAAATTATGTCATTTAGTGAATAACAGCACCACAGCAGAGACAAACTCACTATTTGTCAGAGTTGTGAGAGGAAGGAAGGAGGGATTAAGGGAGGAGCAAAACTGGGACTCAAGGAGAGAAAAGACACAAACTTTCACAGTGGTGTTTGATCCAAAACCAGACAGATTCTCTTTCTCTTTAAGATGCTGTCAGTGAACTTCAGTCTGTTTGTGACTTTGTTTCTGCTCACAATAAGAGGTAGGTGAGATCATCAACATTAAGAGAGCTTCACTGATAGAAACCTTTAGATTGTAAAGTTACAGAGTTATCTTTTCCTTCAGGTGTCAGCTGTGAAGAACTCACTCCAGTCAGGAATGAAGAGTTCACTTTAGAAGACAGATCTGTTACTCTGTCCTACAAATACTCCAAACAAGCAACTGCTAGTGATTATTTCTTCTGGTATCTGCAACATCCAGAAAAACCACCAGAGTTCCTCATCTCACACTCTGCTTCAGGAGCAGTAGGAAATGATCCAGTCCCTGGACTGTCTGTTAAAGTGAGTGATGATAAAACCCATCTGGATCTGCAGATCTCCTCTGCTGCAGTGACAGACTCTGCTGTGTACTACTGTGCTGTGAGGCCCACAGTGACAGGAAACACCAAAACTCTGTACAAAAACCTTTGGAGCAAAGACAACAGAATACTCCACAACGTCCACTAGAGGGAGTCACACACTGTTAAACTCCAGTGGTTTATGATGCAGTCAGGATTTGTTAAAGTGGTGATATAATAAAATATTTATTCCCACATAAAAATATTTTTACAGTGTATCACCCTTCAGTCTGTTAAATACTCAACTACATGCATGCAGTTGTCGGCAGCACAGCATGCGAGAGAGAGAGAGAGAGAGAGAGAGAGAGAGAGAGAGAGAGAGAGATTGTTGTTGTTGAGAAGTCATGTTTGAGACTTGCTGCTAAAAAAAAAATGTTTGTTTCTGGTCCAAAAATTGGATAAACACCGACTTTTTATGAGGAAAATGCAAAATAAGTGACCACAATACGCCAGAGGAGAGAAAAAGAGGAGAAAGAAGAAAAAGAGATACAGTTTGAAGAAGGAGCTCAGAAAACAGCATCAAACTGAAGAGAAACAAACAAGGAGAGAACAAAAATAAACAAGTTACAGCAAACTACTGGACACTGAAATCAGTAAGTTTTTATATTTATTACCATAAAACAAGTCCCAACTGAAACACTCAAGCTAATAGCTAACAAGCTAACACTGGACTGTGGTTACCTAGCAACAGCATCAAACAGCAGTAGTGCTGTTTTAAACACAGAAGCTCGAAGATCAACACCTGTTTCATGATGTCTCCACACTCTGAAACCATCGACTACCCCCCAGCTATCAAAAGGAAAATAAGTGCACTGCAAGAAAATGACTCTGACACCAGCAGAATAACAGTAAACCTGTTCAAACATGGAACTGCCACGATACAAGGAGACCTGAGACAGTTTGAGCTCGACTTTCCTGCTACGAGACTGAGAGCTGAGAAGGAGAAGGAGGTCCTCGCAAGCATCTCTCCAACCGTCCTGTTCTGTCCCTGCTCCAGACAGACAGCCTGCAGATGCTGACACTGATCCTGTCCTGCTCCAGCACTCTGAGGCCCTGGACAGGACTGGAGAGCAGGACTCTCCAGGGACTGTGCCCTCAAACCCAACGTGTTCTTGGCCCCCCACCCGACCCTGCACCTGGATTGCCTGTATGATAACATACACCTGCACAGAAATGCAGTCCCCCCCCTTGCTAGGAACCTGAAGGATGTTGCTCTTGGAAGGAGCCCTACTACCACTCCAAGGGGTAACCACACAACGCAGACCCCACGTAGACCTCCAGGACCTCCTAGACCTCCAAGACCATCCAGACCTCCACCATACATCCACCCCCGGCTGTCAGAGAGGACGGACAGGCCACCAAACCCACCGCATCACCAACATCACAACCCACAGCCAACACAACACTGGCCACTGATACCCAGCCAGAGCCCCCCAGCCTGGAGGTCCTATACCCCCCTCATCCCAATGGAAGAACCAGGACTACAGGAGCAGCAGCCTATTGGACTGAACTACGCTGCAGCGGTGAGAAGAGCCACAGCCCCGCCCCCCTCTGGTGAACTCAAAGACATATTACACATGCAGAACCTGCTCTGCTCTGGCCTCATATAGCTACATGGTGGAAGAACAGAGACTCTTAGAGACATCACAATAATTCTTAACAGTATTTCACACATGAAAGACTCTAAAACGTCACTCAAAGTTTAATATTTTATTCATTTACCTACAACACTATTTTCCTCTTTTTACACTTTTTTTTCTTTTCGTTTGTTACTAGTATTATTTAATATCTAGTTTACTATTATTAGTTTTTTAAGGTGTTTGTCTAATTTTTGAACAGATTACACTTGGAGATGAAATCGTTTACAATAACATGTTGGAACATTCGAGGTCTGAGATCCTCAGCTTTTGATTTAAAGAGCAGAAATCCAGATTTTAATAGAGACTTAAAAGACTCTGACATCATAGTTTTACAGGAGACATGGTGCAGAGAAGATGTTTCCACTGGTCGTCCTCACAGCTACACTGACATTATTATACCATCAACAAAAAAACCCACAATAACCCAAGGCAGAGATTCAGGAGGCCTGATTATATGGTGTAAATCAGAACTGAGCCAGTCCATCACAGTTATTAAAAAAGAAGAATCTTCTATATGGATGAAAATGAACAAACAGATGATTTGTGCTGAGCAACATGTCTACATGTGTGCCATCTATATACCTCCATCAGAATCCCCTACTACAACCCAGATACTTTCTCTATTCTTGAGGAGGAAGTTAACCATTATAAAACCATGGGAAATGTGTTACTCTGTGGGGACTTTAACGCTCAAACTGGGTAAAGAGCTGACACTATGAACACCCAGGAAGACAAACACTTACCTGGAAGCACCTGCTTCCCCCTCCCTGAATGTCCTGCTAGAAAGAGCTTTGACAAGCTGACTAATACAAGCGGTATGCAGCTTCTACAGCTCTGCCATACGCTGGGTCTGTACAGAGTTAATTCAAGAGAATTAATTCAATATTTAATCATTTGGCTTCATTGTCTAATTTAAAAAACTAACTAAATTACAACACACAAAAAACTACACTTACCATGGCCTCAACATTACATACACAGGGAACTTCAACATGGCCGTGAAAGATCTGAGGGACAAAGCAAGGAGAGCTTTCTATGCAATAAAAAGAAACATTAAAATCTATATTCCAATTGAAATCTGGCTTAAAATTTTCCAGTTTGTACTAGAACCAATAATTAGGTAGCGACATCTGGGGGCCAAAACTTAATAATGAATTTGACAAATGGGACAAAACAATCATATAATCTTTCCATACTGAGTTCTGTAAGAGCATCCTGCAGGTGCAGAGAAAGACACCAAATAACCTGTGCAGAGCAGAGCTCGGCCAATAAAAATACAGGAAAGATCACTTAAATTTTACAATCACTTAAAATCAGTTAACCCCCCCGACATATCATCACAAAGCCCTAACATACCAGGAGCTGAAACCAGAGAAGAGTCCCCTCAGCCAGCTGGTTCTGAGGCTCTCTGCAGTAACAAGTCCCCAACAGCCTCAGGACAGCAACGCCAACTCAAGCAGACCAAACCAAATTATCAGCAAGCAGAAAGAAAAATATATTGAATACTGGAAAGAAACGACCAAAACAGAAAGTAAATTACAATGTTATCTGACCCTAAAAAGAGAATTCACACTGGCAAATTACCTGAGCACAATAAAATGTCCCATACTAAGAGAAATGTTGACAACATCCAGACTGAGTGAACACAGCCTGGCCATAGAAAAGGGTCGACACAGACAGAGCTGGCTACCACAAGAGGAGAGACTCTGCTGCCAGTGTGACAGAGGACAGGTAGAGACAGAGGACAGGTAGAGACAGAGCTGCACTTTCTAACCTCATGCCCCAAATATAAAACACTAAGACAAAAACACTTTGCAAACATTTCCCAAATATACCCCGAATTCGAATTCATATCAGACGCACAGAAACTCCCCTATTTACTGGGAGAAATGCCCAAATGTGAAATAATTGCTGCAAAATATGTCTCCTCATGCCATGAAGTGAGGACAACCAGTGGAACCTCAGACTGATAAATAATTGTACAGATTTTCAAATTATTATTTTGATCGTTTGATATTTTAGTAATTGTATTTATGTATTGTATTTATTTTTTAATATATTTTTATTTTTTAACACACACACACACACACACACACACACACACACACACGCTTACTGTATTATTATTTATTTTATTTTTTTATATATCTTTTTTAACACAAACACATACGCTTTAATTACTTGCTTAATGAAATGTATGGGGTTGATTGTTCTTATGTTGTATGTATGATGCTTTGGCAATATTGTTGTTACACATTCATGAAAATAAAGCTAATTTGAATTGAATTGAGATCTTCAATAAGCCTCAGTTTAGCTGGAAATTTACAATGTAAGTTGAATGAATAGAGACTGCAGCTCTGCAGCTTCTCAAGATTAAAGCAGAGCTGCTGTGTGTTATCCTCCAGCATTAAACTCCTCCTGCATTCTGGTTTCTGCACCAATTTATAGTGGAAATGTATTTATTCATGTTAAAGGAAACTTGTCTTTTTTGGACAAAGCACATTTGTTTCTTCTATATTTGAATTGCATTGCATGTTTTCTTATTGTGCAAATAAACCTTTCTCAAAGTGTTTAGTTATTTAATATTTCTTTGTGCAAGCTCTTTTTCCAGATGTTTTTTTGAATTCAAAAACTGATGGGGACATGTCCCCAGTGTCCCCAGTGTCCCCAGTGTAAATGCCACCTGTGGCAGAAACAGACATCAACTGTCTGAGAACACCAGATAAAAATCAGTCACAGCATTGACTGGGAAAGGGTCCAAGTCACTGACCACAAGTCATCCAACGAAGACAAGGTAGGAGATCAAGAGAGTGTTCACACAAGGTCCAGTTGTCTTGTCCCTTACCTGAGTACAAACGTCCCCCCCCCCCCTCTGGCCTGCGCATGTTTAAGTCATCACTACATACGACTACTGTTTTGAATAAAAGTGCTCCCTCTCACACAGCACAATGGGGTTTATGTCTGAGTTCAGAGCTCGAGGACAGTTAGCGATCACATTAGATGTGTCCTGTGTCCAACCTTTACCCTGCCTGAGTCCATCTCTTCAGGGGGGCACCGGCACAGGTCAGGGGTTAAACGTGCTCGGGCCCAGTATGGATCACATAGTGTGAGTACACCCTAAGACATGATGGCTTCTGATCCCTGCTAGGGCTGATTTAATATATAAAATATTGATATCACGATTTCTCCACAGTAACAAAGAAGAGTAAAAATTGCTCCATGTTCCCAAGTAAAGACCAAATTTTCAGGTAATCCAGCTTCATCAGTCTCACAGTGGTGTGAAGAACTGAAAGTGGACATTCAGGAAACATTTCTCTGAGGCAGAGCTGCTCTGGATGCACAAATAATCTCACTGGCTGAACTGAACTTTGGTAGACAGCCAATCTCTAAAAAGGGGATTCTCTGGCCCCGCCCACTGAAGTCCAACTCAACCAATGAGATTCTTTGCGTCTCCAGAGCAGAAATGTTTGAGGAACTAAAAGCACAATCAGCTTGATGTTGAGGAGAAGGGCTGTGCAGCAGAGAGGCTGTTTAGTTTCTTCATTCTACTGCAGTGGAAGAACATTGCTCATCTGCTGTCTGTCTGGCTTTAACAACTCCAAAGACATGTTGCTTTACCTCTTTTTACTTTGCTCTCACTTCATAGGTGAGTGTTGGAACACAGATGAAAGGCTCATTAACCTGCTGGATTAACCAGATATTTGGTCTACATTTCAGAACTAGAGGTTTCTCTGTGGAAGGGAACAACTTCCATGATAGAAACAGACATTTGGTTTATTGAATGAATCCAGAAAGTCAAGAACCTCCGTTGAGTCTCTTGATTTTAGAATCTCTTGCAGACTAACTGACATGAATGACTCATTTTGCAGCCCTGGGTTCCATGAACAGCATAACGCCAGAAAGTCCTGAAGAACATGTTGCAGAGGGAGGAAACATCAACCTGACCTGTAAATATGAGGGTCTCATCACCAATATCCAGTGGTACCGACAATACCAGAGATCCAGACCAGAGTTCCTGCTCTACATCACAGAGGGAGGAACGATTCATTCACCTGGTTCTGTTTTCTCAGCTCACATTAACAAAACAGACAAGCGTGTGAATCTGGAGATCATCTCAGCTAAAGTGACAGACTCTGCTGTGTACTACTGTGCTCTGCAGCCCACAGTGACAGGAAACACCAAAACTCTGTACAAAAACCTTTGGAGCAAAGACAACAGAATACTCCACAACGTCCACTAGAGGGAGTCACACACTGTTAAACTTCAGTGTGATGATGAAGTCTTAAATTACTTATATTCTACATGAATCAATGAAATATTTGTAATATCTTATAGGTATAAAACATTTTAACAACACTTAGCAGGAAGCCTTTCATTAGGAGGGGATGTCTCTGAATGATCTTCCTCGAGGGTTTTTCAATCATGATTTTTAAACCTATAGGCAAAGGGAACATACAGAGATAATATCTTTGTGTCACAGTAAGTTCAATTGGGCAAAGAGGAACACGAGGGAGTGGACCAGACCCAGAACCAGAGGCATGGCAGGTTCAGTTTTATGGTTTTCAAGATGAAAGAGTACACTGACTTACAGCAAGCTGAGGCAGGCCAAGGTCCACACAGGCAGACACATAGCAAACACATCCAAAGGAAGCAGCAATAAACCAAATCTAAACGGTCTAATACATCAGGCCAAAAATCCAAAACACAGGAAAACACTGGGAAATGGCTAGAAAGCTTGACATATAGACAAAGACAAGGCAGGCGCACAGACTAAACACACAAGTGAGGGGAGATTAAGGAGACACAGGTGAAACTAATTAGGACAGGGCAGCCAATCAAACGGGCGGGAAAACACGAGGGCAGGAAATAAAGTAAGACAAGACACAGGAGATACAACATAAAATAGAAAATAACAACA